GCGCTATTGATGGCAGAGATACACAGAGAGTGACAAAGAGTGCGAATGAACTGCATGACTAAATGAGACAATGAGAGAGCTGTGGTTGATTGAGATTGAGATTGAGATTAAGGTAAAACTGAATGAAAAACTAAAATAATTCATTTACAACATTTTCAAATTTCAGTTCTAAACACGTTGACTCACATACATATCCATATCCAATATGTGTGTGTTGTGTTAATTCTTTCCCACTTCAGCAACAGAAGGCATTATTGAGTACATAATTAAAAATGGTTTTAACACAATGTTAAGTTATATTCTGGCAAAACACTGCAATATTACTAGGGCTGAAGTCAAACTGACACAGGCAGAGTGAAAAACTGGATTTTTTCAATCAGGTAGGGTACAAGTGATTTCAAAACATTTCAGCCATTTTATATATATCGTGTATATATTATTTATCTCGTATAAGATGCGTTTGGTTGAGTTGCGCTGCAGTAAGTGTTTCATTGTTGTACTACGGTGATTATCTCTTCAGCGAGCAGCGCAAGCAGGACTAACAACAATGCAGAATATTAATAACTATATATATTATTTATCTTGTATAAGATGCATTTGGTTGAGCTGCGGTGATTATCTCTTCAGCGCGCACCGCAAGCAGGACAAACAACAATGCATAATATTAATAACTATAACTGGGACAGTCGTATACATAACATTATAATGAGAACACTATTATACATTTACATTTACATTTAGTCATTTAGCAGATGCTTTTATCCAAAGCGACTTACAAATGAGGACAATAAAAGCAGTCAAAACTAACAAAAGAGCAACAATATATTTATTATAATAAAACGCTTTTATTTTTTAAATTAGATTTAAAACAAATTTTTAGAGTTTAGTTGCCGTGTTTCTGCACGTTGTTGCGTGAAGAACGCATCCACAAAAGGAGTTCATTCAGAGCCGCGCAGACACGTTCATGCATTCGGGGCATTTTGTGCAGATAGCCTATATGTAGGATATTAACATTATGTTGTATAAATAACGAAGCGTATTCTATATGAGATAAATTATGAGTTAAATCCCATTGATTAAAAACTTGCTATCAAATACTTAATTCTGGTCATCCTCAGCGCGTGCAGCTCAAAACAAAGATGCAGAACATTAATAACTACTGTCATATACATAACGTTATAATAAGAGCATAAAAAATGGCTTATTATTGTAATACAGTAAGTAAGTAACACAGGTTTGAAACAACAAAGAGTGAATAAATGATGACAGACCTTTCATTTTTGGAAAAATGGGCCCTTTAAGAAATAACTAATGAATAACTTGATGCATGAATATGCAGCTTTAAATAAATTTAAATGTACTTACATGACAAAAGATGCAGCGACCTGTTCCTGGTGGCTCTTTATCTGCATCTGACACAAACCAAATGGAGAAAAAGAGGAAAAATCAATGAATTTCAGTGAAATATTGCATATATCAATACAAATTAAAATGTATTTTAGTTTTGACACCTTTGAGAAGAGAGGCAGGATGACTGCTAGGTTGATCACTTACAACAGTGGTGTCCTGGAGGACCAACATCCTGCAGAGTTTATCTCCAGGCTGTCCACACACCTGCCTGGCAGTTTGTGGTAACCCTGAAGACCTTGATCAGCTGCTTCAGCAGTACAGGATTGGGGCTGGAGCTTAACTCTGCAATCAGGACTAGATGGCAATCAATACTCAAAAGAGGGAAGAACAAACATTAATGGTTTAAAACTAAAGTTGAAAAAATTATTTAATATATGGTATATGGTATAATATCTGAGAATGGAAAAGGGAGAGAAAAGAAAAAAAATTATCAGTCAAATAGCCTATTACATAGGTTTGTATGAATAAACATGCAGATTAACTATACAGTCAAGAGAAATCATAATTACATTAATAAATTAATCTCCGCGGTAACGTTAACCTCTGAGGTAATTATCTTTTAAATTGTTGTCTTTTTTTGAATTTGAATTAACTGACTGGAATTAATTTACGTCCTTTTATTATTGTTGTTATGAAAGGATGCAATTATATGGCCGAGTTATAGATCTGGGCCTGGCTAGGTCGATGAACGTACATATATTGGACATGTAAGTTATTGAACGTGTATGAACGATAATGTGTTTATTCTAGAGGGATTAAATCTGAAATACAAACGTAAACGATAAACGAAGCTTTATTTCATGTAAGGTTAAATGTAATACCAATACACACTCTTATCGCATTAACGTTACATGTTATTAAAGGGGTCATATGATGCGATTTCAATTTTTCCTTTCTCTTTGGAGTGTTACAAGCTCTTGGTGCATAAAGAAGATCTGTAAAGTTGCAAAGACTAAAGTCTCAAATCCAAAGAGATATTATTTATAAAAGTTAAGAGTCAGCCACGCCTACCTAAAACGGCTCGTTCTAACACGCCCCCACATGTCTACATCACGATGTGGGAAGATTTGCATAACACCACCCAAATGTTCACGCAAAGAAAGAAGGTGTAACTTTTATTCTCGCTGTAGTATTGTTGTTGCCGCCGCCATGTCGTGAAGGCGCTGTGTGTTTCATAGTGAAAGTGAAACTACTTTGTCTGGTCTTCCAAAAGAGGATGATATCCGCTTCGTCATGCCTGGAGCTGATCCGTGCTGGTTGCTGAGGAAATACTACAACTTTGTGCTGTGGATCGCTGGATCGGCTTTCACCGTGGACGAAGCGGAGTCCAGCCCGGGGTCGTCACATGTCCTTCCGGACGCTCCTTCGTCGGATCCACCGGCCGCCCCGTTCTCAAGCCCACCCGCCTCTGCTCACTCTAACCCTCCGGCCGTTCCTCACGCTAGCCCCCGGCCTCTGCTCACTGTAGGCCGCCCAATAAAGCTCTTTCTGATTCTGATTCTGAAATACACAAAATAATGTTCTTTTTAGCAGCATCATATGACCCCTTTAATGTGTCGGCCGACACCGGTCGTTAAACTGTGTGCGCTGGCAGCTTTACAAACAACACCATGTATTTATTACATGTATGTTTTTTTAGCTTTACACCATTATAAAAGTTTCAAAAGCTTCAAAAACTTTCAAAAGCTTATCCGCAAGCGCGCAAGCTCTCTTTCAAACGCGCTTGTGCCCATAAAGATGAAAATCGAAATAAACCACATGATAGGTAGTAGCCTAGTAGTAGTAGTGGTAGTAGTAATGCCATTTAATGAAAGTAAACATGTAGGCCATGTTTACACCAGGAAAAAAGAAAATTTCGGAAGAAGTCACTTTTTTAGAGGAAAAAAAGAAGTGCAGTTCAGTTTCTGTTCACGTAATGTTAATGATAACGCTTTTGTATTAAGGTCAAGGTCAAGGTCAGTTTATTTATATAGCACATTTAAAAACAGCTAGTGTATGCCAAAGTGCTGTACATATACAAATAAAGTAAATATATAGATTAAGAGAATAAAAAGAAATGACTCAAAAACACATAATCAAAACAAAACACGTTAACATACACAAACATACATTTCATCCAAAAGCCAAGGAATACAGATAAGTCTTCAGGCGGGATTTAAAAACAGGAAGGGAAGGCGCAGATCTAATGTCCAGAGGTATGCTGTTCCATAGTCGAGGACCGGCTACAGAAAAAGCCCGATCCCCCTTAAATTTCAAGCGAGAGCGAGGTATATGCAAGAAAAGTTTATCAGAGGATCTGAGAGAGCGAGAGGATTGCTGATAGCTGAGAAGTTCGGACAAGTATGATGGGGCTAGATCATTTAATGCTTTATACACAAATAATAAAATCTTAAAATGGATCCTATGCTGCACCGGTAACCAATGAAGAGATGCTAGGACAGGAGAAATGCTTTCTCTCCTCTTAGTACCAGTCAGCAACCTCGCAGCTGCATTCTGGACTAACTGCAAGCGATTCAGTGATGAATGATTGAGACCCATATAAAGCGCATTGCAATAATCAAGTCTGGAAGTGATGAAGGCGTGAGTAACTATCTCCAAATCCTTAAACGAGAGCATAGATTTTAATTTGGCTATTTGCCTTAGTTGAAAAAAGCTGCTCTTCACCACAGCACTTATCTGTTTTTCAAATTTCAGATCAGTGTCAAAAATCACACCTAAGTTTTTAGCAAAAGGATGAATGTTTGATGACATAGAATCTAGATTAATAGTGATATCAGAGACAGCACCTGGGGGTCCAAAGACAACAATCTCAGTTTTGCTCTCATTTAGTTGGAGAAAGTTTCTGCCAGTCCAGCCTTTAATATCTTCAAAGCAATTAAAAAGGTCAGAATAAGAGTGATCAGAGTTGAGAGGAATGTAGATCTGAGTATCGTCAGCATAACAATGATATGAAATATTATATTTCCTCATGATCGAACCCAAGGGGAGCATATACAAACAAAATAAGACAGGCCCCAAGAGGGACCCCTGAGGTACCCCATAGGTGAGCGGTGCAGAAGGAGAGGACGAGTGTCCAATCATCACCTTAGCTGATCTATCGGAGAGGTATGATGAGAACCAATCCAGTGCCGTGCCCCTAATGCCAACTTCATCCCTTAGACGATTAAGAAGGGTAGCATGATCAACTGAATCAAATGCAGAACTAAGATCAAGTAGCATTAAAATAGCAGATTTACCGGAGTCCAAAGCAAGGAGTAGATCGTTTGACACCTTCAGCAGTGCAGACTCGGTGCTATGATGGGCTCTAAAACCAGACTGAAATTTATCTAAAATATTGTTTTGTGAGACAAATAACGGATTTAAAACAATTTTCTCCAAAATTTTAGACAAGAATGGCAACTTAGAAATAGGGCGGAAATTTTTAAGATTGGTTGTGTCATAAAGTATGTATTACATACAGTATAGTATAACATTTTTATATAATGGCACTGATAGATTTGGAACATATTTTACCACATAACTGTTGACCTTATTATTTTTCTTTCTATAATTTGTTGCAGTCTAATCTACTTATGTTTATAACATAGTGGTGTAATAATTTCTATTAATGTATAAAGTTCATCAGCACATGACATTTGACTTGTGTGTTTCTTTTTCCCCTTTTCCTTGTGAATTCAGATAATTGGTTCTGCTCTGTAAGTGTTCTATGTGACTCACTGTCTGACACATTATAATCAAAATCTACTTTAGATCATACTGTAACGTATTGATCAGTCAGTGATCATTTCTCTTTTTTCCTTTTACACTTCTAAAAACAGCTCATTGCTTCTGCTCTGTAAGTATGCTTTTTGATTCACACTTTATGAATTCTCAGTAAATGTGCACACCTATGTGATGTATAATTTATATATAGTTAAATATAATACATATAATTTAGATTTTTCTTCTTCCTTTTTTATTTTTCTCTAAACTGTAGCCAACCTCCAGGCCATGCTGCCATATAAATGAGCCCAAAGGCTCTTTTAAGAGCCATCCACATTGCATCTCAGGTGTGTACATACTACATAGCTGTTGCTATCATTTTACTTTTTTACACACATCACTTGTATTGAGGTGAAAAAATTATCTGTCTAGGTTAATCGACTTAAAAAAATAAAAACAAATCTTTGTCTTGGTAATCTTTAATCAAAATCTAAATATGTGTTTCTGCTCTGGAATGGCATTCTTTTTTGTTGTCTTTTTTTCATCAGCATCATTCATATCTGCTGAAGCTTACCATGTAAGTACTACAATAATGTTATCAAGTACTCAAGGAAAGGTACAACAACCAAAACTTTATTGTCAAACAAAGTGTACAATTGTATATGTTTATGTGCTCATTTACCTAATGACTTGGAAACCGTTATTCACAGGAACAGCACCGAATGACATTATTATAGGCTACAAAAAAAGGGGGGGCAGAGCAAAGATAAACACTGCCACGTGATAAAATGCCATTGTGAAGGTTTTCACAAATCGTGCTCGACCTAAAACAATTTTTGTATTCCAGCAGTCTGCGTGTTTATTGGTAATAGACGTTAAACATGAAGAACGCCTTTCTTTCACATTCCTTACAGCGGACTTACCAAGGGATTTACGGACAAGAGCTTTGCTGTGAAAAAATTCACAGATCAAGCTGGTGAAGATGACACCGGTTTCATTCCTCTTAAGTGTCCAACTTTTGGAGCTATAGGCATTATAAAATTAAGAGTTGCTATGAAAAAAAACCCTGATTTCGGCCCGAAGGACAGCGTCACCTGAATTCACAAATCATGGAGAATGATATTCGGTAGCCTATTATTTGCATGTCTATGACAGCGCGCTGCGTATTTATAGCCAAAAGAAATCTGAATATCAAACCACAAACTATCTTTACTGTGGTAAATAAAACCATTTATAGGGGCATTCACTATAAACATCATTTATTTTCAACCTTAGGCATACACGACTTCATGGTGAAGGTGAAACTAGCAGCCTGTGTGAAATGCGCTAGGCTGTACTGTACTTGTACATATATGAATTCTCAGTAAATGTGCACACCTATGTGATGTATAATTTATATATAGTTAAATATAATACATATAATTTAGATTTTTCTTCTTCCTTTTTTATTTTTCTCTAAACTGTAGCCAACCTCCAGGCCATGCTGCCATATAAATGAGCCCAAAGGCTCTTTTAAGAGC